TTCAGCTGTTGACATGGTTGAAAGGTTTCTTGAACTCAACCAGCCATTTACACAGCCCTTATGAGTAAAGATATTCGTGCAAAGGAAGTTGACATAGCTACTTTAGTGAGGTTGATATTGGTCTTGCGGAAAAAACATAATGTCAGTGCTGATTCCCAATTCGCACAGTGTCAACAGCCCTTTGCTCTGAATCTATGCCAACAGCTTCTCTGATACTGCCTCTTCAGAAAAAAGCTTATCAGGGGCTTTCAGTCAAAGATGATGATATGCAAGCCATCTCACAACTGAAAAACCTGCAATTTCACAGAACCTTCAACCAAGGTATTGTATAATTTATTCATGTGTCATATACATGAATGACTTAAATTAGAGGTTGATGATTTTAATAAGTGAGTTTGATTAAAGTTTTTAACGTGCATATTATTTAACATAAAAAGAAATGGAACAATTATTTGAGATCTTATACAGTAACAACATTTTCCCCCATTTCTCATTTTTAAAAAATTTTAAAAAGTTTGTTTGGGGAAAATGTATTATTTTTTTTCTAAATTCTAAGGTACTCTATCTTCCCATTCCTTTAATCAAACACTACTTTTATCAAAGGGTTTAAAACATCCTGCTTCTCAAGGAAATCCCTTTCCCAAAAACAAAAAAAGATAATACTGAGGTGCTTCCCCAAAAGAAGGGTTTAGTTAAACAGGAAACTGAAACCGTCCTATATCTTATGGAAAACAGGGGGCGCTAACCCGCATTACCAAGTTAAGCAGGTTTATAATTTTTTAAAAACATGACATTGAAATCATTCAAATAATAAAAATTGTATGGGAAAAGGATTTTCCGTTTGGGCAAATGCAAAAAAAATTACTTTGTATGTGTTTTCAGTTTTTTTTTACATAATTCACAAATTTTTAAAACATGAATGTACTTTTTTGGTAAAGTGCTAAGTAGGATATTTCATAATAATTCTCTATTTTTTCAGATTCTTTACTGTGTTGTTAATATAATTTTTCAGAAGAGGTGTTGAGACCAGCAGTCAGAAAGTAAACCTCAGCAGTCAGGATTAGCATTACTTCTTGAAGATGTAATCATTGTAAAAACTGTACAGGGAACCAAAAACTAAAAATGGATCAAGCAAGGGAGCAAATGGATGCCTACCTACAAATGGAAACCCTGAGTTTAGGTGCTAACCCATTAGTCTGGTGGAAGGACAATGAATGGAAATTGCCTCTTCTCGCTAGTTTAGCAAGAAAGTACTTATGTGTTCCTGCAACAAGTGTCCCTTCAGAAAGGGTGTTTAGTACTGCAGGTGATATCTTGTCTGCACAACGTGCTTCACTGGATGCTGACAAAGTAGACATGTTAATTTTTTCTGAAGAAAAACATGAATTTAATTGCAACTGTCACTTAACCCCTTTGATGAAACTGTGTTAAGGAAATCATTACAATATAGTTTTGATTGTCAGTGACTTAATGAAAAGTGTTTCAAGTTTTATTTTGCTGTTAATTTTTTCTCATAGTTGATGCTTTTAATAGTTAAAACAGTTTAATGTTTTGTTAAAGGAAAGTATCCACTAATTATGTTTTGCGAGAGATATAGAGATATATATAATATTTGTTGAAATAATATAACTCTCTTTTTCTGAATTATTTCCCAGTACCTTACATTAATAACAATACGTATCGCAATATATTGCAATACGGATGTGGCGTATTGCAATATATTGCAATACGCTTTTTACCGTATTGTTACAGCCCTACATACAAATATTAATCCAGATTCATCTAATATTTGTTTAATAGTGTAAGCCCAATTTTTACCATTATAAGATTTCCATTGTCAGCACCAATTCCTGACATAGAATATGTTTTAAAAAGGATAGTACTTTCTTGAAGCGATAATAACTTAATCTAATATTTAATCATAATTATTTTCCGTTGATTATACATAAGTGTTCGACAAAGCTCGTCATATAACGCTCCTCGGTTTGTGGATAATTTAGTTCCTACAATTTTTCTACAAAATTTACAATGAATAACTTCGACAGCGGGTGCGATTTGTGATCCCCATACCTCCGCCGCGTAATTTAGAGTTGATCAAACAATTTTATTTGCTGTGAAACGGGTAAATCTACTTGATTAAAGATAATAAACAAATAATGAAGAGCGAAAGACGCATGTTGTGCTATACGTTCCTGCGTTCTATTCCATTGTCCGTTTTTGAATAGATGTATACCTAGATATTTAAAGGATTTGACAACTTTGATTTTTGTGTTATATAAGTAAAAATCATAATTTGTGTGACGACCGTTTTCAAAAATCATTATTTTTGTTTTATTAACATTAAGTTTTAAATTGTAATTATTACAGTATAATTCTATATCGTTTAATAATGATTGTAATGTTTTAGGGTTTGAAGAAAAAATCGCAGCGTCATCTGCGAACAATAATAGAAATATTTGCATATCACCAAGATTAATTATTCCGCGTACTTTCCAAAATATCATTAAGAAAAATAAACACAATAAACTGCTTGACGGGTCTCCCTGTTGAACTCCAACATATGAATTTATTGGAGTTGACTTGACATTGTTATAACGAACGGAAGATTTAACAGAGGTATACATAGACCTTAAGGCAACAATAAATTTAGAACTTACATTAGCATTCAAAAGTTTTTGCCATAGTAGTACACGGTCAATTCTATCAAACATCCTTTCCCAGTCGAGAAAAGCAACGAACAATTTTTCTTTATTTGATATAGTTTTTACAATAAGTTAATAGAGTTCAAAAATACAATCGATAGGGGATTTATTCTGTTGATACCCGTATTGATTGTCTATTAATTTTTCATGCTTTTTGGCGATGGTGCGATAGTGAACACGCGATGGTACGACGGTGAAAACGCGATGACCGCGATGGTAAGATAGTGAAAAAGCGATGGTACGATGGTGAAAACGCGATGACACGATAATGAAAACGCGATGGTACCAAGGTGAACGCGCGTTGGTACGATGTTGAAAACACAATACTACGATGGTGATAACGCGATGACACGATGGTGAAAACGCGATGGTACGATGGGGGAAAACGCTATATAACATCTCGTTTTCTACATCGTGCCATCGTGTTTTCACCATAGCGCCATCGTGTTTTCATCATCGTGTTACCGTACCATTGCGTTTTCACCATCGTGGATCGCGGGTAAGAACGAAATAAAAAATCACGATCGTCCAAACGGAACACCGTAGGTAATGCATAAGGTGGGTCATATCTTAAGTGTAACAAATGTTATTGTCGTTTTGTACATTATTTACATTGTTTTTTAATGCTTTATCATTTTAGAAAGCTTGAAAAAATTATAGCTTACATTATGGTAGGGGATCTCGATCCGCACAATTCTTGTATGAATATCGTCCAGTAAAATGAAATATCGGTGTATTTGTCGTGCAATTTCCATACAGAACTTTAGAGTTTAGGAGTTCCTAAAGTAATAATAAGGTTTTGGTTGCTTTTATGTTTCTGAAACTTAAACTGATATTTCGTATTTCGATTAAAAAAAACAACAACAACAAAAATAAAACAGGCATTAACTAAGAGTGAATTGGTATATAATAGAAGGTATTTAATACAAAATATATTAACTTTTTGAGTGTTTAATACCTCAAATAAATATACATGGATGTTGTTGCTAAATATAAGCTACAGGATCCGATATGACATATATATTTATATAACAGACAAAAATTTTTATTCATCATACAAATTTTCACACTTAATCACTAATAACATTATCAACATTTTTTTCCTTTCAGCAATATTTCATAAGAATATCCAAATGATATATTGTATAGTTTTATCAATATTTGAAATACTTATAGATAGTTAATTATTGCAATGATCAAATTTTATGTATATTTATTGACCATTAAGTTTTCTGTTTGGGACATTTACGTATACGTAATTTATACATAATGCGTCGTGGTATCAAAGTCATATCAACATAATTATTTGAGTAAAGTTTATTATGTCTAAAGTGAAAAGAAAAATCAATTTGTTTTTATTTTTGTACACATTTCTTCAAAATAAAGAAAATTACCTGAAAGATTTAAACATACTTACAGGGTAAAAAAAAAATACTAAAGGTGAAAAACATTTTATCGACTGTTATTTTAAGGTTACTTAAGGTGTATTTAGCATACTTAAGTTATATATATGAAAAAAAATGTATAATACATCAAAAATTGTCATCATCACTACGATTTGAAACGCATTGAGATGCAATGACAAATAAAAATAAGGCTATTTGCAAACTTCAGTTTTGTTGTTGTTCCCTGTTGTATAGTTTGAAGTACATATACAAGTCAACGTTTACTTTAGATGTTTTATTTCTTTCAAACTTTGTACTATTGTATATTTTAGCCATTTTGTTTGACATTTTTTCTGTTCTGTATCTGATTTATCAAGATCATCCAATTGTTTGCTGATAAGATGAGAGATATGCCTATTTTCATCTTGTTTAGTTTTTCGCACTATCAATGTCTACATTCACTTGATCTCTTAATATATTCAGAATCTCCATTGTTTATAAATGAAGAGTAGTTATTTATACTCTGTTCCAGTTTTTCATTCCCATTTTGCAATTTCAAGTTGTTCCCGCCACAGAATTGTTGCTAAAATAGGAACGTTTATTAACAGTTTGAGATCATAAAAAACATATTCAATTAACATTTTTGAATGAAATCAACTAAAATGTGTAAGCTTCTTGTTATGGACTGTTATTTTGGGATATGTTGGCTGCGAAACATGAAAGTACATATATATTCCTTTGTAAAGATGCATAGTGATGAAAGTAGCGAGTCAGATTTTGATAAATTTTCCTGACACAGACGAATACATAGAGAAAATATTTGCTAACATTTTTCAAAACCCGTCTTTCGTGTACCTGCGATTCAAACAGGACAGATGTTGCCACAAAAGCAATCTGGCGGAGTTAAAAAGAGAGACATGATTGCAGATATTTCCGCTCTTATGTTAGATGTACATAAACCAAAACCCATTGACTGTGGGGATATTTACAATGAAGGTAACAATAAAACTGGCATTTACACTATTTACCCTACTTGCAATAAGAAGTGGATCTCAGTACGTTGCGATATGGACACATCAGGCGGTAAATGGACCATTATACAAAGGAGGGTTTCTAAAAGCGACTTTTATAAGACATGGGACGAATACGAAACTGGTTTTGGTAATCTAAGTGATAATTTCTATCTTGGTAATCGCATTATACATGAGATAACCAGCCAAGACAAATATCAGCTTCGAGTTGACCTTACCAGCTTTAAAGGAGAATCGGCGTATGCAGAGTACAGTCAGTTTTATATTGGTGATTCTGAATCCAGTTACAAGCTGCATGTTGGTGGATATTCTAGTACTGCTGGTGACGCTCTTAAGCTTCAAAATGGAATGAAGTTTTCTACAAACGACAGAGACAACGACCTCTACAGTTCTAATTGTGCAGTTTCATTTCACGGTGCGTGGTGGTACAATAAATGTCATAATTCAAACCTTAACGGACTGTATGGCTCTAACGACTACGGAAAGGGTACAAACTGGTACCAGTGGAAAGGTCATTACACTTCGATGGAAACAATGGAAATGAAAATTCGTCGAAAGAAATAGTTCGTTTCTACAGGTTATAATAACTTGTGTATCTTGGATATTTGTACAGCATCATTACCTCCAGTGTTCCAAATACATCATATGAAATAATACAATTTTGTTTGGATTGCAAAAACGAATACATTGAGTTTTGTTTTTATATCATATTGCTAGCATTTCAATATTCCAATACCATAAATATTATCCGTCAATTTTAATTATTTGTGTTTTAAACACTGTAAGTATGATAAAATGTTGTTATAATCATATCATCTAACAGACTTTGATATATTTTATAATTATGAAAGTGGTGTAGTTTATTGAAAATTTTAACATTGACCAATATATCTTTAGGCTCTTTATTTAACATATTCTGTAATATTGTATAGAAATGTATATCTGATGTTTGTGATCACAATTAATAAAATTCACTTTTGTTGTTAGCGTCTATAGCTAAACGTTAAAGTACAATTACTTCTTAAGTTTATCATTGGTGTTTTATATCATGTAAGTACATGTATAATGAAATAAACTGTTGATTATATAGTGTTACATTTCATATTTATGAAAGGCACGAAAATTATTTAACATATTTAGCTTATAAAAAAAGATTTCAGTACAAGTACTACTTTTTGTGTCAATATTTTACTTCTTGTATAATAAAGTTTGGAAACACTACCAATTCAAACGATTTAAATATATATATACTTATGTACCAAATAAATATTGATTTTCCATGTGCATGTATTTATAAATAAATGTTTGACAATTTTATGTACTTCGTATACATTCATTAAAAAGATTAGAATGTTTTTGTCAAATTTTGTATATAGCCCTTAACTATTCGTTACAGCGGTGTTAAAATCGACACATACCTCATATTTTCTGACAAGATTACAGTTCAGTACAGAATATATTATAACTCTACACGAACAATCAAACATTTCATAACGGCGTCATAACTGCAAAGTAAATAGACCATTCAGTGTATAAGTTATCGTTTGAATCTGAGAGTATTTTATTTTAGTAAGCTATCCATGAAGCTCACAGAAAGTATGTGTGCTTCTACACAGTGACTCGCTTGTGCATGAAGTCAAGTCTCTCTCCACTTAGAATTTTCAAAATTGCCATATTACTTTTAAATTGAATTTATGGTTTAAAACCAAGAAAATTTTGTATTTTTAATTTTCGAAAACGTTCATATTTCGCCATTATAATAAAAATATGAGCACAACTCTCACAGAAAGGCCGCCAACAATGTCCACACTATCAAGTGACTTAGAATCACAAGACAATCCATGCAGCGGAGAAATTCCAAACAGGAACGGGACATTAAACTGCAAAATCTAGTGGGCAGCCTATTAATGCCGTTCTGTGCTTCGTATTATTGCTATAAGAAATGACACTAATATAGCTACAAAAATGAAAACAAGAAAAAGGTATCTAACTTATAACAAAGCTTTTGAAATTATTCGGTCAGGTTAGATTTTTTCCTCCCCTAACGTTCACCCAAAAGAAAATACATATATTTTTAAAGCGTCCGTCTGGATTCTTTAAAAATAAGATAAATGTGTAGCTCATTGAGGCAATTTATCACGCACAATACCTAGGTCTGAACCTCACTGAATTTTGTACATAAAAGTATATTGATGGATTTTAAAAAAAGCTTAGACTAATGTGCTGGACATACTGACGACGTGTCGAGCACAAGAACACTCTAAGAAATAAGTCAAGGTCGCATTTGTTCGTCGAAACCAGAAAAGAATTGAAGATTGTCCTTCGTTCGTACGTCAGTCTGTCAGTCAGTCAGCAAAATCTGGAACCTGTGATTCTTCAAAAGTAATTAAAATTTTATGAAACTTGGAATATAGAAAGATAGCACTTTGGAGACAACTGTTGGACATTATGATGACGTGTCGCGCTCAAAAAAGAAAATGATTGTATTTCCATATATCCGTCATCGAACCAAGTGCCCGTTTGCGACAGTCCGACTATCGGACACAGTTCGGTCCACTTTATTTTTAATGTGAGGTATTCCAATAGCAGTTGCAACTTTATCATGTCTACTCATTATTGACGCTAAGAAAAGAAGCGGTGGCTTCGAATTTTCATCACTAATTGGACCAATCCGTTCGAAGTTTCGGCCATAGGAACGAATAGCACAATAAAAAGCTTTATAGAATAGAACAAAACCAATTAAACTTGATTGAACTGGGCCTAGACTCACAATTACTAAGCATCGCTATTTGGAAATGCTGCACTCCGAATGTATAAGATGTAAATGTTGTCTATATTATTCAGGTATGTAAAGTATTTTTTGAGATTCCATATTTGACAGGTAATTCTACAATATAAAGCATCAAATCAAATTATGATGTACATCCACTAGGGCATTCGTAATTGTTATCATTGAAAAAATGACCCAATGGTAGTTAACTCATTTACATCGTCGAGGTGCAAGTTTCATTGGCCTTGTATATAGTTTTCCACAATAATTCAACATTATGAAGGAGACCTACTTTAATTTGAGATCCCAGTAACGATACCATTTCTGATAAAAAAACCTACAAAAACAATTAACTAAATATTTTTAAGAATCATCTGGCTCAATCTTTATATAATTAATATATTCAAAATGCACCTCAAATATTTATTAACTCAGAAATGGGCTAAAAATAAGTTAAACTTAAGATCTTCCCAAACAATTCCACCTTTCGCTTCAAACACGTCAAATATTTGATCAGAAATATGGCTCAATTTTCGGCTTTTTTCCGTTCTAAAGTTTTTGAGGGATATAAAATGCATCTCTGCTTGCTGCTTGCTACTTGCCATTGTGCTACTTCCATTTGTTACACACATTGCTATTTGCTGCATGCTGCTTGCCACTTACCACTTGAAACGTTTAGACACACGGGCAATAGGATTTATTAACGAAATATGACTGACTTAATGCATTCAGTATTACCCATTATCAATTATTCCATGAATAAAATTTCGAGAATGGAATGCAGGTCACAACACGCAACTTGTCCCTTGATATTTGCTACCTGCCGCTTGCTACATGCTACTTTTCAAGGTATCGAGTCATTCCGACACCTCGGCAGTTGGTATATAAACAAAATAAGAAACGATTCAACCTCTTCACAGTAATATTCGACTTGTTTAATATGCTGTTTATAAACAAATATTCTTTCCGCTGCGTTGCTTCTTCGTTATCTCTTTTTATTCATCTTATTATATTCACATATATTGTAAGTAATATTAAATGAATTAAGTTACATGGCATTTGATGCCTGTTGATGATCATGTGTTGTTATATTTCCGATCCTTGTCGACCGTTCAGCACTAGATTAAAGTCTTCAGCGGACCCGTATTTATACTGTGACATGCCGTGATGTGCAGCAGATGAAAAACAGATATTTTAAAAAGCGGCTTGGGTTGTTGTTGCGTCGAATTTACGCCGTACGTTGTTTTCTCGGGTGATCCACTGTGAGTATTTCTGCAGAGTGCTATCACGCAGTACGTGTTCTTGTATGAATGCCAGTTTGTTATGAGAGGCACAGAAACTAGTCTCAGTAGGCACGGACGATAATCGTATGCGGTTTATAGATGAGTTTATTTACTAAGTAGCGTGGGTGGAATTCAATATTCCAACTTGTAATGATGTGAATACCTTAGTGATATGTTGCTTGCAATTTAAAATTGTCTTTTTGACGGTCTTATCTGTGATTATCTGAGGCTTCGCATAACGCCCATCTCCTTTCAGATTTCAATATATTGTATACCGTTTTACGGTTTAGCGCAGTCAGAGGTCGTATGGGCGGGGTTGTTGCTACGCCCATGGTTGTGTTTAGCGCCCTGTCATTTATGCTGCAACACGCTATTCTATTTCTTAAGGGCCATACACCGGTATCAAGGAATGACAAAGAAAGTGTCGCATTAAAGGTTCCATAAGTTTAAACATATCGACGATATGTCGGGAGAGCTGATCGGCCAGGGTCGGGGAAGACTGATAGTTAGATGACATGGTATGTGAGGATATTGCTGGTGCAGAGGTCATAAGTCATAAATATTATATTTTACCTATTTTTATGGTTTAACGCATATGTTAGGTTTCGTGATACGTCTCTTTCAGTGGGCGCGGCGTGTTGCTCGTGAGGGGGGGGGGCTTCAAGGGTAGCTTTCACTTCCGTGCATGAACAGGCTGCAACAAATTTGGCGTTTTCGACGTCTTTGTGGGATTCTTTATTGCTCTATATTTTGGCACTAGTCGGGACTGTGTTCAGTGAATATAGCTGCTCTACCATCGTGTCTATTATGACTCCTTTCTTTCATATTGGTGTATCTGTTCGTATTGTACCTGATAACTTCCTGTTTAGAGGCACTATATCTTCGACGTTCCATGTACAGGCAGCAGTGAATGTGGCGCACTAAGCTCGTTGTAGAGATCTGAGTGTGTCGTTAGTATAGAAGTAGGCAATAACAATGAAAGTAAGAAAATAGAAAAGGGGTTTGAAATAGTAATTTTAGCAAGTTTAGTGATTGTTCATCATGCAAATGATGCGCTAGTTATGGCGACGTTAGTAGGGAGAGTAGTGATCGCAGCTCCTGCTATTAGTGTAGAGCGATGCTAGTTATTTGTTAACTATGCTTACATTAACGTAATCTTTATGATTTACTTAGCTGTTTTTACCTTATCTGTGTATTAGCACAGGTGTGGCAATACGGATCATGGCGCTTAGGATTAGAGAGGACCGTGGGCGGCCCATTGTTGAGGTATAAGTCTCGCTGGCACTAGAATCGGATATTGCTGGTAGTTCGATCCTGGCGTTCCGAACGGAGCTGAGAGATTCAAGCAACAATAATTATATGTCAAGTGCTTTAATCCGGAGATAAATAATATCGAATAATCTGTGATTGTGCGCAGAAATAAGAGATTCTTTAGTAAAAGAGGTAAGATGATTACAGAGTTCGATCAAGTATGCAGATGGCATAATCGGTCTGTATAATGATGATGTCTGTTGTGAAATGGCATGAGATGCCTGGTTGTGAATAATAATTGTGTTACAACTCCGGCACATTTGTGTGATTTTTGTAATTTGGGGTTCTGGATTTGAGCATGATCTAGGTCAGAAAGGTTGTCTAAGGAGCTGACACGTGTTTGAATGTAGTTTCGCGACAGATGATGAGGGCTGTGGCCAGGACGCTTCAAACAAATGCCTAAACAGAGCAAGATTCTGAGAAAACAGCTTAAAACTAGCGATGTTAAAGAAGAAAAGTCTTTATTTTCGTTCAGCATGGAGTAGCAAACAAATAACAAACGCATCAAAAGTTTAAAAAGTAGCGGGTTGGCTTATAGATTGTCAATATCGTAATTTATCAAAAACAACACAGTCCGCTGCATCTTGGTGGCCCTGCAAGGTGAATTTATATTACATAAAAATAAATTCTAACCTGACAGGAAAAGTACTTAAAGAACATATAAAGTACGATTTAATGATTGCAAAGGAATCAGAAAGATTCACTAAAAGCTTACAAGACCCTGTGATATAATGTATAGCGCCACAGGAAGATGGTAGATTATATCTCACAAAGTGACATATGTGTGTTTATTATTTAATCTCGTGACCAAAGGAAGATGGTACGTCGTGCAGCCACGTTCAGTTACTAAGTCGTGGCCACGGAGAGTAGTCGTAATAGGTTCGGTATTGTGACCTG